AACCTGTGCAGAGCACATGCCCTTTTTGCCCTTACACTCCGAAGTGCCCTTTTTTTGGTGATGGTGTTTTTTTTTTTCCTTCAATAAATCAATGATATTGGTCACCCTTTACATCTGTCTGTCTGCTTTACAAGTATTTCGCTAATGAAAGGTATTAAAAAGAGCTTGTGACTAAATCGTGTTGGATCCGCTCAAACTGTCAGTAAACCTCATAACTCTACCCCCTCTATCTTGACTGAATGAACTGAAGTTCCACAGCAGCTGAACTAGGTCTGCAAGGCTAAATAAAGATCTTGTTGTTTGAAAACTTGCGTTTTCTTCACGCAAGAAACACTATGTCTATAAAGGCTCATAAGAAATTTTAAATTGAATAAAAAAAAAAAAAAAAAGGACTTTGCCTCCTTGCCATGGGTTTCAAAGTTGTAACATCAAACCAAACCATTGGGTGGAATTTATTGTAAATCAATATATATGAAGTATCTGCAAATAATGTTCATAATCATAGCCTATATGCACACATTCATCTAAATCCTGTCTAATCTGTCGAAAAGGCTTTTTTAATGCCACATCACATTCAATAATAAATGACATGTTTACTTAAATGATAGCGAAATTTGACAAATAATGTTGAGTAGTTTACATTCTCTTAGGCTATCTCTGTTGTAAAACAGTTAGGCTATTAGGCGACCTACATGTTTAGCAATAGAACAGAGAGTTTGATTTGACTGGACATCTCAGTCATTATGAGCTCTGTTACTAGATGTTATATAATGATAATAATAATAATAATAATAAAAGTAAATCTTAGGGAAATTCAAGTGTTTTTTTATGTTTTCAATATGGTTAACATACTTTCACATCTTGCTCTACATAAATTATATACAGTAATACCTAAACTGTGTTTAAAAAAGTAATTTATTAATTTATTAACCATTTGCTTCATAAGAACTAAAACGGTTCATGGTACATTGTTTTGAAAGGTGTCTCGTGTTGAATACTAAAAGCGTTTTTGGGTGATTGTCCCATGGCGGCGTTGCCAAGTCCGCGGTTTTCCCGCGGAATTACATTGTTAATGTAAAAATATAAAATAGAATTGTATTTGTTGTTGTTGTTTTCTGGTAGTGTAAGTAATGTTTATTTAACCAGGAACATGTGACTGAGACAGGAATTTACATTTGATAAAAAAAAAAAAAAAAAGGACTTTGCCTCCTTGCCATGGATTTCAAAGTTGTAACATCAAACCAAACCATTGGGTGGAATTTATTGTAAATCAATATATATGAAGTATCTGCAAATAATGTTCATAATCATAGCCTATATGCACACATTCATCTAAATCCTGTCTAATCTGTCGAAAAGGCTTTTTTAATGCCACATCACATTCAATAATAAATGACATGTTTACTTAAATGATAGCGAAATTTGACAAATAATGTTGAGTAGTTTACATTCTCTTAGGCTATCTCTGTTGTAAAACAGTTAGGCTATTAGGCGACCTACATGTTTAGCAATAGAACAGAGAGTTTGATTTGACTGGACATCTCAGTCATTATGAGCTCTGTTACTAGATGTTATATAATGATAATAATAATAATAATAATAAAAGTAAATCTTAGGGAAATTCAAGTGTTTTTTTATGTTTTCAATATGGTTAACATACTTTCACATCTTGCTCTACATAAATTATATACAGTAATACCTAAACTGTGTTTAAAAAAGTAATTTATTAATTTATTAACCATTTGCTTCATAAGAACTAAAACGGTTCATGGTACATTGTTTTGAAAGGTGTCTCGTGTTGAATACTAAACGCGTTTTTGGGTGATTGTCCCATGGCGGCGTTGCCAAGTCCGCGGTTTCCCGCGGAATTGGGCTACTTTAACACTGTTGCTGCGGGTTGAAGCGACCCCAATAACGTGATATTTAGCCCCTAAAATGCGAATGTTACCAGGGGAACCCCGCCAAAAAATGTGTATCTTATCCCCCAGAACGCAATTTTTATCGGGGGACCCCCTCAAAACGTGACTGGGCTAGTTTTGAGTAGCAATTGGGCGGGTTTTGTTGTGAAAACCTGGCCACCCTGCATGGCGCTTACCGTATAGCCACAAGAGCGCCCAATGCTTTCATTGTGAAACATGCCGGTCAATTATTTATGAATTTTAATAGGCTACATAGCTATTTAAATTATGCATTTAAGTATTTTAATATCTTTCCACTAAAACCAAGAATAAGCCTTTATGTGGTTTAATTTCTTTTGTAAAATAAGAGTTTGTTGCATTTTTAGATTTTGTAAAACCAGCTGTATGAATTTATAATATTTCTATTAATACTGTATGTGCCAATCTAACATGTGCAAGTTATCGAATAAATGGCAGTGGTTACGTTTGTGCTTAAATGTGTAAAATGCTTTAATATGAGGAACGACCAGGAAAAAAACAACCTTGAAAAGTTGAAAACTTATGACCAGTTGAACCGCATTTCTGCCATTTCAGAAATTTGCTATATATATTTTTAAATTATTTTAAGTCATATTTAACTCATACTAAAACCAAGAATAAGCCTTTATGTGGTTTAATTTCTTTTGTAAAATAAGAGTTTGTTGCATTTTTAGATTTTGTAAAACCAGCTGTATGAATTTATAATATTTCTATTAATACTGTATGTGCCAATCTAACATGTGCAAGTTATCGAATAAATGGCAGTGGTTACGTTTGTGCTTAAATGTGTAAAATGCTTTAATATGAGGAACGACCAGGAAAAAAACAACCTTGAAAAGTTGAAAACTTATGACCAGTTGAACCGCATTTCTGCCATTTCAGAAATTTGCTATATATATTTTAAAATTATTTTAAGTCATATTTAACTCATTAAGTTCTACTGTATTGATAAATGTCAAATATTCTTTTTAAAAATAGAAATGTCTGACTTTTTTATATGTCATGTGCTTTATTTGACTGGCAATAAAAGCATGTGTCAAAACTCCATTAGTCAGGTGCTGCTGACTCTTCTTATTCTTTGCGGTCTTCTACAGTGTGACTCTAGGCCTCACAGTTATGACAGTAAACCACTTTCAGAAATATCCAAAGAGGTTTCTAAGTACTCTGACATCGCTCACCAGATCATAAACCTAGCAGTATATGGAAAGGCTCAGAACCGTTCCGATGAGAGGCTGGCTGAGTTCACTGACACTATTGGAAACAGAGTCAGTGGCTCTAAGAACCTAGACCTGGCCATTAAATACATGTAGAATGCCCTTACACGGGACAGACTGGAGAATGTGCATCTAGAGCTAGTGAAGATCCCTCACTGGGTGCGGGGGGGAGGAGAGCGCGGTGATGCTTCTACTGAGAAACCACACTTTAGCCATCCTTGGATAATTAAGATTGTTTTTTTTTTTTAAAGAAGCCTGTTTTGCTCACCAATTAAGGTTCCATTTATTTAATAAAAAAATACAGTAAACCAGTAATATTGTGAATTATTAGTTTAAAATAAAATAGTTTTCTATTTTACTGCAAATGTAAGTTATTCCTATGATGGCAAAGCTGAATTTTCAGCAGGAAATCATTCTAAGTTGCTGATTTGGTGCTCAGAAAACTTTTCTTCTTATTATTATCAATGTTGAAAACAGTTGTGCTGCTTAATATTTTTTTTGGGAAAATGTACACCATCATTCAAAAGTTTGGGGTAAATAAGATTAAAGTATAAAGTGTATAAAAAAGTAAGGATGTATTACATTGATCCAAAGTGATGCTACAAACGTAATTTAAATACATTTATATTTCAAATAAATGCTATTCTTTTGAACTTTCTATTTATCAATGAATTTTGAAAAAGAAATGTATCATGGTTTCCACTAAAACATTAAGCAGCAAAAACTCTTTTCAACATTGATAATAATATGAAGCATTATAAAAAATGTAGCACCATTATTAATTGATAATATTTGCTGAAAATTCAGCTTTGCCATTACAGGATTAAATTACATACTAATTATTCCAAACTTTTGACTGCTATATTTGTTATATAATAAGCATATTTCTGTTTTTAACCCACTCATGGTGTTGTTTTCAGCCCCCACACTGGCTGGCAGTGGTACCAGCCCGGAGTGGCTCAGATCCCCACCGCCTGCATCACTGTCGAGGATGCCCAGATGATGGCCAGGATGGCCTGCAGGGGCCAGAGGATTGTGGTGCGTCTGACTATGGGGGCCCAAACACTGCCAGATGTTGACTCATACAACACTGTGGCTGAAATCACAGGCAGTGAGCATCCTGAACAAGTAGGTGATTTTAAATATGCTATATAGTACTGATCTCACAAAGCACACCATGCTTTTAAAGACTTCCTTGCAATTATTACTAATGGCTTACAACTGGCTGTTGACTTATGTACTCTTGTAAATCCTGTACTGTACAGCTTGTTTTCCTTCAAGACTGATTTTCAGCCCATTTTACCTCCATAATAAAAATGCATTTCAGGGTAAAATGTGATATTCATTTAGGAAAAACAAAAACAAACTTA